AAAAAAAAAAATTGTGAAATTAAAATAAGATCATAAATACAAATTAAACATTACCTCTTTTTGTCAAAAATGTTTTGCAATTACCTTTATTACAATAATCTCAGTTTTCTTTTGAATTGCTTTATGCTTTGTCAAAAAAATTATCGCTTGTAGTTGACAGACTGCTCTGAAAATTGTTTCATTATTATACTAAACTAAGCAATCTGATTAAAAAATTTGAAGCTTTTATAAATTATACTAAAAGTTCTTCCTTTTCTGCTAGGTTTTCAAGGTCAAACCATCTGAAGAATTGTTATAGAAAGTTTGACTTAACAAAATTCAGCACGTAGAAAAGTCATTTACACTGTGACTGCTGTCAGATAGTTTAAACAGTTTTCAGCTGTTCTTTGTACTATTTTCATATATTCAGAGCAGCATAAAAATTTGTGAAAAATACTACAATAAATCAACGCAAAGAAATTTTTCAGATAAATAGCTAACAGCTTATAACTCTTTTTTTATTTATTATTTATTCAGATGTTTACTTCTGCACACTCTGACCTGTGATTCTTTTTTCTGACAAATTTTTTCACTTCATTCTCGTTATTTAGTTTATCAATGATAAGAACAAATCTGTCAAGCATTAATTTTGAAATTCTTTGGAAAATTGTTCAGTACCTGTAGCGAATTCGATGCCTTAGAGCTTACAATAGCGTCAAAGTTTATTTTTCTGTTGATGATTGTAAAAAAAAACATAAAGCATAAACAGGCTGAGTGCTGCAGATAAAGTTACAAAACTTAGGACAGCAGAATTATATATTTTTGGATAAAAGTTACCAATTATATGTTGACAGTGTACTACAAAAGTTTTCATGTTCTGTTAGCATTATAAAAATCTGAACCTCACTTATATGACTAAAAATTTATAAATTTTTAATATTTCGTTTTGTGGTAATGCTTTCAGGGTTGTAATACTTTTTACCTAAAAAAAGAGCTCTTTTTTAGTTTACACAAACACCGCTGATAATTGAGAATTAAATTGTTGGTTTTTTTGCATAAGTTTCAACTACTTAAGCTTAAAAGTCTTCTGTCACTTGTGCATTGACGGTTGAACAACATTTTGTTCTTCCACTGTGGTAACAGTTTAGTGATTAGATATGAAAAGTGTTTATTCCACGCACAAAAAAGCTTAAAATTTTACACAATAGTAACTCTTGAATTTCTTGACTTCTCTATCAATGGTGCATTAAACTTTTCTGTCGTACGTGGTAAGACAACTTATCTTTCACAAGTATTACATTAAAAAATTATTCTAAAAATTTTGTGTAATTTTGTTTTAAAAAATTTTCTTTCAGTTCTTTATTTCGCATTTGTTTGAACTTTATAAAAATAACTGCCGTTTAGCACACTATACCATTTTGTAAAGTATTTTCGCTATTTTTTACAATGTAATTAGAATGTTAATTTAAAAAAGCCGGTATTAATAAAGAAGAAGAGAAGGAGAGGAAGCAGGAGATAGCAAATTAAAAAATGGTTAGCTTAATGATTAAGCACATAAACGAACTTTAACAACTGCATTGTGCTATTAAAATATTTCTTTAGTAATCAATTATCAAATAATGTTTAAAAAACTGTTCAACCTATTTTGATTTCGTATCATTAAAAATTTCAGATGAACCAACGTATATATATGATCCGTTGCCAAGCATGAGAACCCAAGGTGATCCAACAGAACTGTCTGCAGTGATTTATGCTCAACTAGACCATTCCTTCTATTGTCCATCAGAAAAAAATTTTGTAATCAACAAAAACTTTACAATTGGAATGCCGGCACAGTTTGTTTTAGCATAATGACAATTTCTGAAGTTCTGTTTTAAAGCGTTAACTGTAAATACATTAGCAGAACATAAAATGTCGAATATTTGACATCACATTGGAGCATTACGCTTATTTACTCTAGCATTCATATTTTTGCTCTTTTTAGAATCGTATTTCGAGGACTGCAATTAGAAGCTTTTATGAACAAAACCAGCAATAATTTTGACAAGAGTAATTTAATCATTAATTTTTTCTTCTTCTGGAACAGTTTTATTTCATAATTGTAATTCAGTGCTATTCAACAATACTAAACAATATACTCAGAACAAAATTTATTTGTTTTGGACTCTAACATGGTTATGTAAAAGAATTTATTTCATGATTCCACTTTTTAACTTTTATGACAGGCGGCCAAACAGACAAAGGGTTACTCATAAAGTATTTTGACGTTGTTGAATGTCTGCCGAAACTCTTTTATGCTCAATTTTTTTTGTGCTTTCATACAAAAAAAGTAGCCGATTTTTCCACATTTAACCAAATTTTCAACTTTTTTCAAGTTTTTTTCGAACAATTTTACGCTCGTTCTTACTGCTGCTCATTTTTGTCTTAAACTTTTAAATTTCGTTTGTGTTAAGCTAAAGTGAAAATCTTGATCTTTCGTTTTTAATTCGTATTAACTTGAAACAATTTTGTGTGCCATCTTTAGTAAGATTTCTGATTTAGCATATGTTCTCGGTTTTTCTGGTAGTCATCAATTTCTTAATTGTTTTTGTTTAATTCAAAACGACAACAAAATTAGCAGATAACCATAAACATGAGAATGGTACTCGTTTTGCGTCTTTGTTGATTTTTACAAAAAAGTGTTTAAAATCTGTTTGAATGGTGAAAAAGAAAGATGATCAAGTTTTAGCCGCTTTTTTGGTAGCATTATCTTGATGATAACCATTGTTCAGGCTTGCCAGGCAGATTGTGAAAAACGTCCAAATATTGTTTAAAAACAAATAAAACAAAGTTAAAAAATTTTTGTCTAAATTTTTAAATGATAATAAAATTAGATTTTTAAATTCAACATTTTTGTTTGTTGTCTTTATTTGTCCATTTTTGAAGAGCATACATCAATGAAACAGACACTTAGCAGTTTATTGTTGATTAAGCAACACAAATTATGCTATATTGTTTATAAAACACGAGGGCCATTAAAATGATAGTTGGTGGCCGAATAAACTGTTACACGTAATGTTAAAATGCACTTGAAAAATTTTATTTCTTTTTTTTTTTCTTTTTACTGTGAAACATGCTTTTTGATATTAAAAAAAAAAAACAGACATATGTTTTACTTTCTATTTACAGAAGAAACGTGCCCAGCAGATCAACATGATGACGATCTATTACCAATTATTGTCGGCAGTGTTTTAGCCGGTCTTATACTTATTACTTTAGTCGCTTATTTAGTAAGCATACCTTCAAACGACGAACAGTAATTTTAACCTGTTTACTTGGCAACAAACTTTCTTCATATCAAAACAGCAATGTTCAACCAAAGTTTAACATTTTATAACCATTTTTCAATTTAGACCTGTTTTTTTTCCCTTTATTTTCTTCTTTCTCTTTAACTAGACAGTAGTAGTTTAACAAATAGAAGAAGCCAGATTCATGGAATCTGTTGTAGGTTTATAGATGTCGTCTTCCGTCAGAAGTTATCAATTTGACAAATCCGCTTTCGCATTTTGAAGATCTGACTAACTCAAACTATGGTAAGCTTTCTTGCTTCTGCTCTTAGGGTTAGTCATTTGTGATGATTAAAAAGGCATTTTAAATCTGCAACACTTCTTTAAGGGTTCATTTTTTCTCCATTTTAATACAGACAATAGCAGTGTCAAAATAAATGTCAAACACTGTTGAATTGTTGTTGAATATAGTACACTCAATAAAACTAATCCAAAACTAACATTTAAGGCAATTGAGTAAAATTATATTGCTAAATAACTGTTGTTTGTACCTTACAATATAATTTTATTAATCTCATCTAAATGAATGTTTGGATTATTACATTAAGTAAACATCAACTTATTAGAAACCAACGATAACGTCTCTGAAGACTATAGTACTGTGAAAACTGTTTTTTTGCAAACTATAAACATTTAACACCAATTTCAGTAGGCTTTTTTATTTATGATCTTTTTTGAACAAAAAAATTTTTTCAAATATTTTTTTTAACCAATTTATTTCATTGTTATACACTTTCGTATAACATTGATCAACTGCAGTTGAAAAAAGAACCTAATAACTAACTTCAAAAAAACAAAAAAGAAAAAAGTAAATCAAAGATTTAAAATACAAGGCAAAAAAAACAAGTATAAGAAAAGAAATAGTAACTGTAGAAAAAATCTATTTTCCTTCAGCTGCAAAAGTGACATTTTCAAAAACTTCTAATTAAACTTACATAGCATATTTTAGGTACAGAAGGTGATAAAGTAAAAAGTGACAATGATAAAACAGATTCGAACCTTATACGTCGACGGGAACCATCAATCGAAAATGACGAAGAAGTTGAATTATAGCGTCGAAAAAGCATTTTGAGTAAAAATTTTTTTCGTTTTTTCTTCTGTTACATTCACGAAAGGAAAAAAGAATGTAACATTAATAAAATTGTCAAATTCAGACACTAAGTGTTAAGTGTATTACTCTGTTTAAACTGTCAACTGCTGATTGATTAGTCTAAAACAGCAGTTCTAAGACTGTAGTTTGGCACAGCAGATGATCTAAACAGATTCTGTCTATAATAAGTGAAATATACATATATGCTTTCTTTTTTTACTGTAGAAAAATTTTTTTTATTGGATGTTCTATTTTGGTGATAAAACAGTATCAATTTACTGTTTCTTTTTATCTTTATGTAAAAACAGTTGTTTGCTATCGTTTATTAATATTGTAAAAATGTTTACAATGTTGCCGTTAATTATTCGGGTACTTGAC